AACGTACCTGAAATTCAAATTGAAAAAGAATTAAAAGAGAGAGAAACCTTCGAGAATCAGTTTTATGCTTGTGTAGCTAAGTCTAAATGCATAATTAACGAAAATTCAGTGGAAACACAAAACAATAAATCATTTTCTAAAGGTTCCTGTGCAATTAAACTACCCACGATTTCACTACCCTCGTTTGATGGTTCATACGACCAGTGGTTGGAATATCGTGATACATATCTGTCTCTGATACATAACTCTAAAGAAATAGATAATGTTCAAAAATTTCATTATTTGCGTTCTTCTCTCACGGGTAATGCATTGATGGTTATTAAATCATTGGAGTTTTCATCTGAAAATTATATCATAGCATGGGATCTATTGGAAAATAGATATAACAATAATCGTTTACTTGTCCAAAATCATGTCAAGGCGTTGTTTAATATTGCATCACTAAATAAGGAATCATCAGTGCAGATTCGTAAGCTGATTGATAACATTTTGAAAAATATGCGTGCCCTTAAGACCTTAGGTGAGCCAACTGAGTCTTGGGATACTTTAATTATTTATTTAATCACTTCTAAATTAGACTCATGCACTGAGCGTGAATGGGAATACTACAAAATAATGAAGAAATTAGATTCACTGACTGTAAGATTGTTTAATGCAGAGCAGGACTTTCGTAGCATGCCCAGTATGGAGTCGCTGCTGAGTTTTCTAGAGAGACGTGCTATCTCGCTCGAGGCTAGCTCGGCTTGTGACACGAGCCGTACAGAAAGACCTTCGTTGATGTCTTTTCATATTCCAACACCAACATGTAATACAAAACCTAATCCAAAGTGTAATAATGCAAAATCAAGAATGATTCCTTGTTTATTGTGTAAAAATGACTATCACAAATTGTACAAATGCCCTACTTTTTTATTGATGACTAATTCAGAAAGGCTTTCATATGTAAATAATCACAATTTATGTAAAATATGTTTAAATAAGCATGCACAAAAATGTAGATACAATTTTACATGTTCCTTATGCAAAGAGAATTCGCATAATTCTTTAATACATAATAGCTCATTTCTACAATTAAAACCTGTACATATTAATTCATTGCATGCATCTAACTCTGTAAATAATCATTCATGTGAATTTGAAACTGTACATACTTATGCAAATGGTAATTCAAAAGGTTTGTTTCCCACTGCTTATTCATACAGGCAAAATAATATGCCTCACAAGACTGTATTAGACTCAGGGAGTCAAACTTCATTTTGTAATCAGGCCTTGGTTGTCGTGCCAGGTCTTCATGCATACAATACAAAAACTTTTCATTCCTTGGGTCAAAGACGGGGTCTAAGTGACTCTGATCCACTCTACACTAATAAGTTGGACTCTAGACCAAAATGAGTCTCACCTTTATGTAAATTTAATTGCTTTCACATTATATAATATCTTTTTATTTTTATGCAAGTGAGGAAACTTGGACCAAGTTTAGTTTTATTTACATTAATTTCAGTTATCTTTCAATATGAAAGTTAAGTGTTTTGTGTTTGTTTTAATTGCTTATGTGTTAGTTCTGATACAATTCGAAAATATAATGTTATGACATAGACCGGTACATTTCCAGAGATTGCTAAGAATCTAGATTTCATGATTGTTTTGATTTATACACATGAAAATGTTATCTTTCATAATTGAATTTTAAGAGTACCTACATAATTGCAATTTCAGTTATTTTATTCATTGTTTAATACAAATAACTTTAATTCTAGTGCGTGTTGCATTTCGCGCGCGAGACTATGTTGGAAACCAACAAGGAGTTTTTTATACTTTTTATTACTTTTTCTTCTAAACAAAATAAAATCAACTTCTTCACTTTGACAGCTAAAAGAAAGTCGTTTCATTTATACATTTTATCCACAATTTAATACTTTATTCAGTAATTCAATAATTCATACATTTTATATTTAATTTATGTCTTATGCAACAAACACGACAATTTCAGTTAGCACATTTGACACTAAAATGGCGAGAACTAATGCTTTCTATGTTTCCATATATACATTTACTCGTAGTTGGGTCACATTTTCCCACTCGTACATTAATTAGGTCGCTTGGCACAGCGGAGGTTAAATAAAACAGCCACTTTGTGGCTATTTTTGTAGATTCAAATAAATATTCTGTTGATGCACGTACGTACAGTCTATTGAAGAGATTTAAACCTAGGTTGCAACCTAGCCTTCCAGCCAATTATGTATTTTGATTGTGTAAAAAGCTTCAAAGTGGGGCTTGCATTAAGGTCTCTAAATACCAATCCCGCCAACAGCCCGACGGCTTTACTCGGACTTATTTAAATATCATGTCGACGACTTGTACTTACTGACTTTTGACAACATGTCAAAGTCGACGACTCATATCGGCGAGTCGGTGGGTTTGGTGTGCAATTGTGCATTATGGACAAAAAGATTATCAATTTATCAGAATTTGGTTTGATGACAGAATACATGTTGCAGATTAAGAGCGTTTNGTGAATAAAAATAGCATCGAAATTACCTAAACTTGACATGTCACGCTAGACGTAAACGCTCTTAAACATGGGATGATGAACTGGCTGTTCTACCTATTCATAGTCAGGGCTATGAAATAATTATCATCTCATTTATAAGACTGAAGCTTTTGATCAGCATAATTAATCTCTTCATTAATTCCCGGCAAATCTCTCGGAATGTTCAATCGCTGTAATTATTGAATTTAAGGATATCTCAGAACTTATTACCTCCAATTAAACATCTAATGAACGTATAATTAGGTCATGTTCCAAAAACGATAATACTGAGGACAAATTCTAAGAAGTATAGCTTTTTCAAAGTAAATTACATTAAATGTAATAAATTTTATTACTTTAATTAAGAACTAAAATATTAATTTATTAGTTCTTAAGTTTCGTTAAGATAAATTAGATGGTTTAATTCTGTATCGTAAAACAATACAGGGTGTTTACTGTAAGGTGTCAAGCCGAAGTCAGGTGATAGGTGAGGACCAGACTTATAGATTTCACCTCTATGTATGATCTACTATTTTTCGTAGTTTGGAAGTTATCGTTTTTTGTAAAACCTACTGCTCAAGTAACTCACGGCTTTCTTCTCACTATTTCTATTAAAGATCTATCGATACACATTTATCTAGATAACTTTAATATCTCTCTAGAATTGATGTATCTGTATACCTCCTCAATTCCCGAAGCTTGGACTTGGCAACGTCGATTCGTCTGCGCCTGACACTTTAATTAAGTAGAGAAATCTGAAACGTATTAGTCTAGAGGCTACCTGTACGATGATATTAATTGCGAAAAGTTAAAGTGTGTAATTTATTTTCGATCATCTTACAAACTTTCTTGGAAAAGCTCTAGCTTTTGATGCGACTTTTCTTACGAAGATTTCAATCCCCTACGGTATCTTTATCGTAAAGCACTTTTATAACACTATTTACTAGGTCCTCCTTCACTCACATATCCTCCGATAATAACTAAAATTAAAGTAACTAAAATTAAACGGTAGAGATTAAAGGTAGAGTTTCATAATTTATCTTACATCGTCTAATTCTTCAACCCTTAAGATTGATTAATGTGACAAAAGGTCGTGGTGTCCTTTACGACACCTCGGCATGATGCCGAGTGGATACCGTTTCGGTGATACGCACATTACTTATGTAGGTATTAAATAAATGTATTTTGTTTCTTGATGTTGTTTTGTGTCGCTGAATAAAACATTTCATTTTCATTTAAAATCCATGTCCTAGGCCCCATCTATATCTTTACTATCATGAAGATTATATCATTCAATGATTAAGAAGAAGTTTAGTAAAAGAAGTGGCAGACGGCAGTGCGGGGTATTTGTCTGCCTTACACAAGGCTCAAAATCAGGGATGTTATGGATATCCGTAACCATAACCGAAACTTTCGGATATCCGAAATAAAAAAAATATCCGAAACCGTAACCGTAACCGATTCAAAAGTTTCGGATAGTTTCGGATGTAGGCAGTTTACATTGTTTTTTGTATAGCATTATATGTAAAGGCATAACAGCCTGATTTACCTTTATAATGCCATCTAGTATCAATTTTTATATTTTTATTACTTTTTATTCGATGTAAAGTATGTGGCCATAAATGAACCGTGTTGGACAACTATTGCAAATTGCATTCTAAAGCACAGATATCCGTAACCGTATCCGAAACCGAAACTACATATCCATAACATCCCAAAATACATTGTATTCTCTTTGTTCCAGGTATCAGTGATGGCCAGGATGGTCCCGTCTCCCGACTGGTTCATCGGAGTCGACAGCTTTGACCTCTGCGTCGACGGGAACTGGCTCGATAGCATTACTATTGAGGTACAAAGTAACGAGAGTTATAGAGTAGATGAAGAAGGAAAGGAAAGGATGTTATTTGGTGAGCTAGATGTATGTAGTTTATCTTTAAAAGAGATAGAAAGTCCTTAAGGCTGATTTCACAGTCACAAAAGCACTGCTATTTAATCACTTGGGTTTGTGACGCATGATCTTGTATGTGTCCATCTAAAATTGAGAACTAAATCGCCCATTTCAAAAAGCGCAGAAGTTTCGCGGGGGTTTCGAACGTTTCTTTACTTTATTAAATTTATTTCTTTTCTTCTCAGTGGGCCGAGTGTGAGTTTATATCAAACACCCTCACTAGAGAGCGCGTTAAATTTTTTTATGTAAATTTTAGTTCTTGAACGTTTCCGCTAGGGGCGCTGTACAATCCGTCGTACATTTTCATTTTTTTACGGGCTCACTAGTGAGCGCGTTTGATATAAACTCACACTCAGCCCTCAGTCTTGTGTGGTGTAGTCAGCGTCAAATAATTTGTGACACCCAAAGCGACCAAAAAGTTGACAACATAACCATATTCCAATGAAATTGTATCAAAGACTTTTGTGTCACGAACTAATTGACGCTGACTGTTCAATAAAGTGTGTTCTATTCTATTCTATTGTTTTGTTCAGGTGGACCCCCTAGACGCGGGCACAGACAACGGCTTCACCTTCACAGCCCCGAACTGGCCGACGGCCCCCCAAGGGGTCGCCTACCGCATCACGTCCAAGTACCCCTCACACCCGGCCGGGTCGTTCTTCTACCCGCATCTGAGAAGGCTGCCGCCGATCGCCACTTTCCAGTTTATAAAAGTAAGTTTTGTTTGTTTCATCCTTGTCAATCCATATACCTATAGGTATACTCGTACGAAAGCAGGAAGGTCACGATAGCTGAACGGTAAAGGAGTCGGACTGGCCGAATCAACGTTCGAAAAACGCGGGTTCGAAACTCGCCGCCCGCTCGACTATTTTAGGGGGAGCCTATACGTAACACAAGCATTTTAGCTTAGTACGAGAGATTAACGGGACTACGAGCATTAGTAATTTGTGCAATAGGTACAAATTACTATTAGGTATTCTGTTCAATAAAAAGTATGCCTTTCAGTTACCTTTACATGCCACTGAACCAATTTTAAACAATTTTGGCGGAGAGATCGATGGAACCTTGTATTGATCGTTGTCGCGCGTTATTTTTTGTCACGAAAATATAACATAATAATAAAGGCTCGCGAGAACGTAAAAGGGTTGAGATGAGGGATGAAATTTTGTATGGGGAATCAATCAGTTCTCGTAGCGATACGGTTTCTCATTTTTATGCTTTTCGCTGTGAGCAAAAATATTTCGGAGGACACACGTTACACTTTCTGATGCAGGAGAAGCCGTGGGCAACAATCAGTTTATACTAAAGAAAGATCTAGCTAAAATAATTTCGTTATCAATAGATAATGTATATGTATGATGTAATAACATCATTCAAAACTAGACGCTATTGCCTGAATAATAACGTTTATCTTTTTTTGATCAGCTCCGCGAATACGAACTCTCCGAAGTGTTCCACCGAAGCAGCGACGACAGACGATACGACGTGCTGCAGCTCGACAAGCTCAGCCACAACACCATCGACGTGCTGGACGGAAACCGCGCGCTGTCCATAGCCGAGGAGGTGGAGAGAGCCGAGGCTCCAAAGATATACGCCGACGGTGCCCTAACTACGCCTGATGGATCATACTCATATTACACTGTGTAAGTAATCACATTCTTTGATCTTTTTTTTATGCATAACAAGGCAGTTATTTGACCACAACCTGCTGTTAAGTGGGATACAGTCTAGGATGGTACATATCTGCCCTGTAAGTGCCTATTCACTCTCGCCTTGAAAATGCCCGGATTATAGTCTTCGGGATAGACAGCAGCAGGCAGCGAATTCCAGTCCCTAGCTGTTCGCATTATAAAAGAGTCATCGAAACGATCTCTACAGAGTACAAAGGTACGTGTACGGCAGTGGGCGGGGCACATAGCTCGAAGAGCTGATGGCCGCTGGGGCACGAAAGTTCTTGAGTGGCGACCACGAGCTAGAAGACGTAGCGTGGGCAGGCCTCCCACTAGGTGGACCGACGATCTGGTGAAGGTCGCGGGAGGTACCTGGATGCAAGCGGCGCAGGACCGGTCTTTGTGGAAATCCTTGGGGGAGGCCTTTGTCTAGCAGTGGACGTCTTTCGGCTGAAACGAACGAACGAACAAAGGTACGTAGCTCAACCCTATCGATATGATGGAAACCGTGCGCTGTCCATAGCCGAGGAGGTGGAAAGAGCCGAGGCGCCGAAGAAATACATACGCTGATGGAGCCCTATTAATGGAATTATTATTACTAATTCCTCTTTCTAAAAAATCCTTCTGATCTCTTAAAGTGTGATATTCCCTTACGTCAGAAATTATGATGCAAAAGATTGCAAACTCACGCACCGCGGGGCACAGGTATATTGGGTTATATTTGGGGCTTTCCCCTTCAGAAGCGTAAAAATAACTTCCGAGTACCTACACATAAATTGACGATTCCTGAGTTCCAGACGTAATAGTTATTAAAATACACAATAACTTATTACGTTATCATCGTAAACAAAAACCGTAATATTCTACTAAATAGGAGAAAGAGGGTGAAAATTCACAATACGTGACTATATTTTAGGATCTCCGAACGTTCCCCTACGGAGAAATTGAATTTGTGCTTTATTATAGGGGAGACAAAAATGTGCAATAATGTTTACATTCCTGCTGATATTACGTAATAATATTATTGTTATATTTTTACTCCGTATGCCTCATGCATCTACCTACACAAACGTCCAATATATGTAGGTTTCCCTGTGATTGAAAATTAACATTCCAGTGCTCGAATTCTCGCCAAGCTCTTTAGATAAGTAGGTATTTGAAATTAGAAATGGTACTACGAGACTATTCCCACCTCTCGTTCCCACCGCTGCAACTCCTATGTAGCCAGAATCTACAGCTTAATAGCACCAATAAAAACCCAACCAGTGAAGGTCAAGTTTGTCATCAGCATATAGAGACAATATTTTTTTCTAAGGGCTGATTTTTCAATCCTCGGATAACTTATAACTGAAGAATAATTTTGGCACAATGACAGTTTTAGTATGGGAAATATGTCAAAATGACAAGGTTATTCTTCAGTTAAAAGTTATCTGACGATTGAAAAATCAGCCCTAAATGAGTCTATAAAAATGGTACTAGTATTTTTTTTTGTTTATACCAGGGTGAACACGACATCAGTGACGACCGAAGAGCCTCGTTCAGCCAACGAGCTGCCGACGTCGGGCCCGACAGCGAGCGAGCGGTCGGCGCTGCGCAGCCTAGCTCGCCGATACCGGGCCCGGCGGCGGCGCAAACTGCGAGCTGACAACACCGACCCGGCTGAGCGGAGAAAGCGAAAAAGAGCGAGTTAGTACACTTTTCTTACTACCACTCTAGTACAGTACTTAAAGGATAGCGTAGATGTGTGAGAGGATTGCTGCCGAAGAGCCTCGTTCAGCCAACGAGCTGCCGACGTCGGGCCCGACAGCGAGCGAGCGGTCGGCGCTGCGCAGCCTAGCTCGCCGATACCGGGCCAGGCGGCGACGCAAGCTGCGAGCCGACAATACCGACCCGGCTGAGCGGAGGAAGCGAAAAAGAGCGAGTTAGTACATTTCTCCCTCTCTAGTACAGTACTTACGGGATAGCGTAGATGTGTAGGAGAATTGCTACCGAAGAGTTTCGCTCAGCCAATAAGTTGCCGACGTTGAGCCCGACAGCGAGCGAGCGGTCGGCGCTGCGCAGTTTAGCTCGCCGCTACCAGGCCAGGCGGTGGCGCAAGCTGCGAGCCGACAATACCGACCCGGCTGAGCGGAGGAAGCGAAAAAGAGCGAGTGAGTCATGTTATCAGGTCATTTATACAGGGTGGAAACGATAAGTGATNGTTGAATAATGTATCTTTTATTATATACCATGGACATTAGCAAAAACAAAACAAAACTATGTGTAAAATGGGATTGAAAAAAACTGGTCCAAATTAGCGGACTCTCCCTTATTTAGTTTCAGTTTTATTTCTTGATGTTGTTTTGTGTCGCTGAATAAAACATTTCATTTTCATTTTAAATCCACGTCCTAGGTCCCATCTAATCTTTACTATCATGATAAGAAGTAAAGAAAGTGGCAGACGGCAGTGCGGGGTATTTGTCTGTCTTACACAAGGCTCAAAATACATTGTATTCTCTTTGTTCCAGGTATCAGTGATGGCCAGGATGGTCCCGTCTCCCGACTGGTTCATCGGAGTCGACAGCTTCGACCTATGCGTCGACGGGAACTGGCTCGATAGCATCACTATTGAGGTACAAAGTAACGAGAGTTATAGTGTATATGAAGAGAAAGGAAAGGAAGTTATTTGGTGAACTAGATGAATAATAGTATATTATCCTGAAAAGAGATAGAACGTCTATAGGGCTGGTTTCATAGTCACACGAAAGCACTGCTATTTAATCACTTGGGTTTGTGACGCATGATCTCGCATGTGTCCGTCTAAAATCGAGAACTAAATCACCCATTTCAAAAAGCGCAGAAGTTTCGCGGCCGTTTCAAACGTCTGTTTCGTACTATATTATTCTTTCTTTTCTTTTCATGTTTTGTGTGGTGTAATCAACCTAAATTCGTAACACCCAAAGCGACCAAAAAGTTGACAACATAACCTTATTCCAATAAAATTGTAACAAAGACTTGTTAACTTTTTGGCTACTTTGGCTGATATGACTGTACAATATTATGGTGTATTCTATTCTATGTATTCTTTTCCATTGGTGGTTTGACTGTACAATATTATGGTGTATTCTATTTTATTATTTTTTCTGTTTGTGTGTCTACTCTATTCTATTCTATTGTTTGGTTCAGGTGGACCCCCTAGACGCGGGCACAGACAACGGCTTCACCTTCACAGCCCCGAACTGGCCGACGGCCCCCCAAGGGGTCGCCTACCGCATCACGTCAAAGTACCCCTCACACCCGGCCGGGTCGTTCTTCTACCCGCATCTGAGAAGGCTGCCGCCGATCGCCACTTTCCAGTTTATAAAAGTAAGTTTTGTTTGTTTCATCTTTGTCAATCTATGTACCTATAGGTATACTCGTACGAAAGCAGGAAGATCACGATAGCCGAACGGTAAAAGGCCAGTCTGAACTGGCCGACTCAACGTCCGAGAAACACGAGTTTGAACCCTACTGCCGCTTGACTATTGTGGTGAGCCCATTCCTAACACAAGGATTTTAGCTTAGTATGAGGGGTTAACGGGACTACGAGTATTAGTATATAATATTAAAACAAATTACATAACCTATAATTAAATATATATTACAGTAATATTATATTACTTATAATATAATAATACACTGGATACAATAATTTAATATTTATTCTAATTAATAATATTTAAGAATCTAGTTTAATACAATAATAGGGGAGAGTTCGGTATATTGTACCGCCGGGTAAATTGTACCACCTTCATATTTCGTAAAGTATTTATTGAATGTCTGTAATTGCAACACTCAGCGATACACAACTAAAATCAATTAATATCGGCCATGTGGTTTTTGCCGTGACAACAAACACGTGTGTTTTATTTTGAAAAGTATTTTTTCATTGTTTTCAAGTAACTTTTGACAATACATGTTCAGTTTGTAATTTTGTTAAATTTAATCACAGGGTATTTCTAATATATTATTTAGAAGTGTAAATTAGTGTGGATTACAATTATTTGAAACATTTTTCGGTATTTATAAGCTATATTTTTTACCGATTTTTTAAAAGCACTATCACCTAGTCGGCTAAATTGTACCACATCAAGTTGTATGGAACTGTACCAAAGAATTTTGAATTTTTTTTTAGTAAATAATATTTTGAAGTTATAATAGCGTAGTTATGTTTGACTAACAATAAATGAAAGCAAAAGATTGGCAAAGTAGATTAGGTACAATCAAAAGTCGAAAAATAAGGACCACCCTAATGGACATTAGCAAAAACAAAAGAAAACTATGTGTAAAATGGGATTGAAAAAAACTGGTCCAAATTAGCGGACTCTCCCTTAATAATTATTTTTTAAATTCCTCCTCTCCATTGTTGTTGTGCCCGACAGGGTTCATGGTGATCCAATTATATATTTAAGACCTAATGTACACTGTGAAATGCAATAAAGATTTGAGTATTGAGTATTGAGTATTAGTAATTTGCGCAATAGGTACAAATTACTATTAGGTATTCAATAAAAAGTATGCCTTTCAGTTACCTTTACATGCCACTGAACCAATTTTAAACAATTTTGGCGGAGAGATCAATGGAACCTTGTATTGATCATTGTCGCGCGTTATTTTTTGTCACGAAAATATAACATAATAATAAAGGCTCGCGAGAACGTAAAAGGGTTGAGATGAGGGATGAAATTTTGTATGGGGAATCAATCAGTTCTCGTAGTGATATGGTTTCTCATTTTTATGCTTTTCGCTGTGAGCAAAAATATTTCGGAGGACACACGTTACACTTTCTGATGCAGGAGAAGCCGTGGGCAACAACCAGTTTATACTAAAGAAAGATTTAGCTAAAATAATTTCGTTATCAATAGATAATGTATATGTATGATGTAATAACATCATTCAAAACTAGACGCTATTGCCTGAATAATAACGTTTATCTTTTTTTGATCAGCTCCGCGAATACGAACTCTCCGAAGTGTTCCACCGAAGCAGCGACGACAGGCGATACGACGTGCTGCAGCTCGACAAGCTCAGCCACAACACCATCGACGTGCTGGACGGAAACCGCGCGCTGTCCATAGCCGAGGAGGTGGAAAGAGCCGAGGCCCCGAAGATATACGCCGACGGCGCCCTGACTACGCCTGATGGATCGTACTCATATTACACTGTGTAAGTAATCACTTCTTTGATCTCTACAGAGTACAATGGTACGTAGCTCAACCCTATCTATATGACGGGAACCGCGCGCTGTCCATAGCCGAGGAGGTGGAAAGAGCCGAGGCCCCGAAGATATACGCCGACGGCGCCCTGACTACGCCTGATGGATCGTACTCATATTACACTGTGTAAGTAACCGATCTAAATAGGGATAAAACCAGACACCATCGACGAGCTGGACAGAAACCGCGCGCTGTCTATAGCCGAGGAGATGGAGAGAGCTGAAGCGCGAAAGATAATATACGCCGACGGCGCCTTGACTACGCCTGATGGATCGTACTCGTACTACACTGTGTAAGTAGCTACTACTCTGATCTAAATAGGTACAAAACCAGAAACCATCGATGAGATAGATTATTATTAGTAAGTGAAGAAGGTGGAGAGAGCTGAGGCACCGAAGATATAGGTACGCTGATGAGCGCCCTATTTAAGGAATTTATTACAAATTCCTCTTTCTTAAAAAAGCCTTGTGATCTCTTTAAGTGTGCGTGATAAGCCCTTACGTCAGAAATCATGATGCAAAAGATTGCAAACTCACGCACCGCGGGGCATAGGTATATTGGGTTATATTTGGGGCTTTCCCCTTCGGAAGGGTAAAAATAACTTCAGAGTACACGTAAATTGACGATTCCTGAGTTCCAGACGTAATAGTTATTAAAATATACAATAACTTATTACGTTATCATCGTAAACAAAAACCGTAATATTCTACTAAATAGGAGAAAGAGGGTGAAAATTCACAATACGTGACTATATTTTAGGATCTCCGAACGTTCCCCTACGGAGAAATTGAATTTGTGCTTTATTATAGGGGAGACAAAAATGTGCAATAATGTTTACATTCCTGCTGATATTATACGTAATAATATTATTGTTATATTTTTACTCCGTATGTCTCATGTATCTACCTACACAAACGTCCAATACAGATATTACTGTAATTGAAAATTTATCATCTGAAACATTAAAAATGGTACTTACTACGGGACTATTCCCACCTCTCGTTCCCACCGCTGCAACTCCTATGTAGCCAGAATCTACAGCTTAATAGCACCAATAAAAACCCAACCAGTGAAGGTCAAGTTTGTCATCAGCATATAGAGACAATATTTTTTTCTAAATGAGTCTATAAAAATGGTACTAGTATTTTTTTTTGTTTATACCAGGGTGAACACGACATCAGTGACGACCGAAGAGCCTCGTTCAGCCAACGAGCTGCCGACGTCGGGCCCGACAGCAAGCGAGCGGTCGGCGCTGCGCAGCTTAGCTCGCCGCTACCGGGCCAGGCGGCGGCGCAAGCTGCGAGCCGACAATACCGACCCGGCTGAGCGGAGGAAGCGAAAAAGAGCGAGTTAGTACATTATTCTCCCTCTCTAGTACTGTTCTTACGTGATAGCGCAGAAGTGTGAGAGAATTGCTACCGAAGAGCCTTGTTCAGCCAACCTGCTGCCGACGTCGGGCCCGACAGCGAGCGAGTGGTCAGCGCTGCGCAAGCCTAGCTCGCCGATACTCATAATGCTGCGTTTACACTGCAGCATTAGGCGCCAGATACCGCCAGACGGCGGCGCAAGCTGTGACCCGACTGAGCGGAGGAAGCGAAAAAGAGCGAGTGAGTCATATTATCAGGTGAATAGATCGTTTCATCCACGAAAACGCGCCAAACGAATTTTTGATCGAAGGAAGCGCGGGGTGCGGGGAGTTTGATCCGAGCGTCGTTATTGTAGTGTGCGTGTGCACTGATGGATGATTTAGTGTGTACCTACCGATAACACTCAAATATTAGCGGAAGAATGGTGGGGCGCGTCTTCGTGAATGCAACAATCTATAGTCTCTACTACAGGAATAAGACTCTCAAGCAGAGGCTAAGGAAGCTCACGCTGGGGATGACGTTAGCATTTTCTCCTGATATCCATGTTTTACTGATGTAGAAAGTCGCATACCTACCTGTCTGTCCCCTCTGCTATAAAATAAAAACAGACGTGGGTTTAATTAACTAAATTGGAGTTACAGTCATCATTTAGGATCTTGCACGTCGCGTTGTTTCAAAATGTAAAGATAGAGAATATTGAAAATTGTTCAAAAACTACGTTGCACTATTTTCCAATATAGAATCTAGAGTTGACAGTGCCAGCTTTAAAGTTACATTTTGCGAATTTAAACTGTCATTGAGTCAGAACAGCTCGCATCATCTTTTATTGTCTACAAACAATGCAGCGAATTTGTAGCGTGAACACACATTCAATTTAATTTTAGACAGTACGTAGATGGCTCAAGCCTGCTGCCGACAGCTGTATGGAGCAGCTTGACATGTGACGGGAATTCAACATTGTATTTATTGTATTAATCGAAAGGGACAAAATCAATGTGAAGTATCTCGTATTAAGAGTGCCTAGATAAAAAATACCTGTAGTAAAGTAGCAAGTTTGTTAGTGAATGATAATTATAATATTTTTTTTTTATTTTCAAATCTTCATTTATTTGTCGATTCATTTATTAAGATGAAAGTTAATGAGCTCACCTGAATCCGGAAAAAAGTAAATAAGGAAAAATACTTACCTATTTTCAACAACCATTTACATAAAAATTTAAATTCATCCTAGGTATTTACTGATAAGAAAAAATATTACCAGATGGCTTGGGGAATTAAATCTTTTACAATGTCAAACAGCTTTTATGCCATACAATAACTCAGTGTTCCTCCATGATTTTGTTCTCCACATCGTGGAGGAATCAACGCATGCATATTGATAGGGTTTCATCGCGGTTACTACATAAAGCCTATTCCACAGGGCTGCTAGACTGCCGCGTGTCAGACTGGGGCGAGTGGAGCCCTTGCCACAGCGACGGCGGCTGCGTGGGCTCGGCCCTGCGCACACGCCGCGTGGTCCGGCGACAGAGACCCGGCGGCGCGCCCTGTCCTCCGACCACGCAATCTCGATGGTGCGCCACTAATTGCACCCATGAGGACTGGAGGAACAACCTCACGTAATCTAGGAACGGTTCGTGCGAGCTGCCTTTTGCATTTCTTCTCGAAAAACAGATAAGACATGACATGAGACTTCAAGTGTGCCAGGCTTTTCAGGTGTATGTAATAATACCAGGTCAAATAATTCAGAGCTAGTTCGGTCCCCACCATCTTTGATCAGCCGCTGGACTTGTGGTGAACCCACTCTTACAACAAGCTTACTTGGAGACAAATTACCAGTAAACCCTCAAAAAACGAGTACTAGTTACACAGTTTTTCGCAAAACCCACCCGCTAATGTTCCCGAATTGCTTCTGCCCTGCGTAAGCGGCGCGTGGTCCGGCGGCAGAGACCCGGCGGCGCGCCCTGTCCGCCCACCACGCAATCTCGATGGTGCGCCACTAATTGCACCCATGAGGACTGGAGAAACAACCTCACGTAATTAAGGAACGGTTCGTGCGAGCTGCCTTTTGCATTTTTTCTCGAAAATTCACTGATAATATGACATGACATGAGACTTCAAGTGTGCCAGGCTTTTCAGGTGTATGTAATAATACCAGGTCAAATAATTCAGAGCTAGTTCGGTCCCCACCATCTTTGATCAGCCGCTGGACTTGTGATGAATCCACTTTTAAAACAAGCTTACTTGGACACAAATTACCAGTAAACCTTCAAATAACGAGTACTAGTTACACAGTTTTTTGTACTATCCACCCACTACTGTTCCCGCGTTGCTTCTGCCCTGCGCACACGCCGCGTAGTCCGGCGGCAGAGAACCGGCGGAGCTGCCTTTTGCATTTGTTATTCTTGAGAAAATTCATTGATAAATTAACACACCAGATATGACATGACATGAGACTTCAAGTGTGCCAGGCTTTTCAGGATACATTTGCTGATGGTTGTTAGAGTACCAGGTCAAATAATTCAGATAATAATATATCTAATCTGATTGCCGTCGGCCGTTATACTAAATGGTGAAGCCACTTGAGAAACACTGATACTTAATAGACATGACACAAGAACTTTTTTTAATGCATAACAAGGCAAATATCTGACCACAATCGCATCTGATGTTAAGTGGGATGCAATCTAGGACTTCAAGGGTGCCAGGCGTTTCAGAATTATTTGCTGGTGTATTATGTCATCAAGTAATTCATAGCTAGTTCGATCGATGTTGGACACCACTCCTAACGCAAGCATATTAAGAGAGTTTATGGGATTGTTAGTAATTGTTTTCGGCAAAAAAGACGTTGGTCTTTTTGTAACCCAGTTATGGTTCCCGGGTTTTTGCTTCTGCCCTGTGCACACAAAACTCACTCACAACAAATCCCGGCGGTGCGAGCAACTGCATTAGATTTTGGAAGACGTACATAATTTCTGACTTTAGAACTAGGCCGGTTCGTGCAAGCTGCCTTTTGCATTTTTTATTCTTGTTTCTAAATCGATTACCCAAATTGTGCTCCAACTGAAAGTTTTTCAGTCAACTTTGTGTGAATGGTAATGGACTTTTTTCAAACTTATGATGGATATGGATGGTATTTAGGACGAACTACTTTAAATAATTATAGGTTTTATTATAATAATTATTGAAAATAACAACAAAATGTATCGTGTAAACGGAAATAGGTAAAATAGTAAGACACGGGTCTTAACGCGACGTTTATTAATGAGTTAAGTACATTATGTACCCACGGCTTGACGGAAATAGGTAGTTATTAATAAACAGGAATAGCAGCTAACTCATGTTAGGGTAATTTTTGGTAAGATCAGATACTGAAATGCTATGTAAAAAGCATGTAAAAGATTCAGTGCCAAACAGCGATGCAAAAGGTGGCTCGTAAGCAGCTTTAGCTTCCACTTCAACTATTCTCCGTAAACGCACACCTTTACCTTCTTTTATTTTAAGTTTTTTTAGCGTCTGTGTCTGTCCGTCCAAATGTCATTATTTTCAATTCCATTTTCGTCGTCTTATTAATTGGTTATTTATTGTTTGGATGTAAATTCGTGGTGTATAAAAACCAATAAAAATTGTTGTATAAAATAAACTTAGATGAAGTAAGCGATGACTGTCAATGTTGGAATGATAGATAGACTTCGATTGATTACCGCTGTAACTATTAGGCTTCTTCGATCTTTTATTTGTTTGTCAATTATTGTTAGGTAAGATAGTTTAAGCAAAAACATGACTTTTGTCTTCTGAATACGTTCTAAATTGTTTAAAATATCACCACCAATATGTTAATGCTAAATGTACCCTGGCTTGTATTAGACAGCTACTTTCATTTATTTTTACATTCAGAATACATATTTATATACAGCTCTAGTACAAATAACAAATTGTGTCTTAAGCTAATATATTTTATTTTCTAAAGTTAATATTGAGGATGTAAAATTAAAATATTAAGACTTATATTTATTGCAATATTATAAAAAAATCTTTTATTCAACTTTCACCTTATGTAGAAGTACCTATTTTAGTGATTAATAACCTGTGTTTAAATTTAATTTGTGTTATAGTCATACAGTAGCCATATTGCAATACCTTCCTTGGAGTAATTAATTAAATACTATGATACATATCGTTTACCTAAGTATTACAGTGTGACAGTATTTCAATAAAATGTAGCGTTCGAAGTAGGTGGAGAACAATCATCCAAAGATACAGCTTTTATTTTTCATACAGGTAAGTGTAAAAATATTAGAATAAGTCAGTATTTAGTTAAGAAATTTTAAGTAATAAAAGCCTTCTACGAAAATAATTCAAGATTTATCTCTCACGATGGATTTACAAATTTTTCTATAAAAAGAAGCTTAAAAACTGAACATCCGTATTTTGCAGAAAATTACTGAGAAATTGAGGGCAGAAAAATCGAAGTGATATTTTAGAAATGATCAAACTAAAAAGTATCACCTCAGATGTTTGAATGTTCTAATACTTAACTATTATTAATCTGATTGACATGCACTAAATTAAAACTATTAGAGCTATTGTTGAAGTTTCGACTAAATTATCGCGTTTGCTAGATCAAACTTAAAAGCGCATTTATAAAATTAAAATTTTACATTTTCGCATTTTATTGAAGGACCAGCTATGGTCGAAATATTGTTCAGTTTTTCTGAAAGAATCTTCGAACTTCCAAGTAGTATAGTATTTCTAAAACTGATTTGTTCACGTAGATCGTTCAGGAGATTTTGATGCTATAGTGAATGTAATATAGAGCCAAAAATGCTGAAATGTTAACCTTAGCGTAATAATTGGAGTATGTGTATTTTTTACAATGTAAATTATTCTGATTTCAATAATAAAACATCTTAAAATAACAAAACACTTGTTTTTTATTCATCAATTTACTTTTTTCGAAGTTTCCAATTTGTTCGAAGTTCGAATCAGAAGATAGCAAATTGAATGAACATGTATTTACAGAATTTTCTAGGTATGAAAACATAATAAGAACTATTTAAAATTTTCCTATGAACTTTCTTTGAAAATGGCACAAAGCAATTCTACTGCGAACTGTTCGAACAAGTTTCTAAACTAAGTTTTGTTAGTCTCTGTGCTTATTATCTTATGATAGAATGACGTGCTTCTCCAGATAAAAGTTGTAATTGATTTCGAGCAGAATTTCCAAGAAAATTCAACTTTGAGAATTTAATCGAGAGATAGGGGGCGTAATTTCAGCAAGTAAGTACCTACATTATTTTCAATCTACGAGTATGTTTAAAATATAAGAATTAAATTAATACCTAATAAATGAAACAAAAATAGTCAAATTAGTTTTACAATTCGTAGTTTCGAGTCCAAAGTACATCTACAACATCTGACTTTTAATACATAGTTTGTTGCACAATAATCCCTATTATATAAACTTTTTAAGCTCCCTCTGTTACAATACCCCTAACTTAAGTTCATACTGTTTTAAGCTGCCTCAGTGTCCGTATAGACTATAACATATTACAAATGTAATAATTGTGCAACATTAAACAGTTCTGAAATTCAACGTTTTATTCAGACACCATGATAAATTAATACTGTTAACCCATTAAAAGTGTTCACACAAGAACGAGCATTTAACCTTTTGGTGGTTGACGAAGACATAGGAAATTAAAGATGTTATCACGTAATGAAGTCTCCGCTTAAATAGAGTTCAAGTTCGGGACAATGTTAATTTCAGACGTTTTCAAATTTCTGACAAGTCGAGATGGTGACTTTTGTAATTTATTGTTAGATTACTTTGCTGGTGGTTACACTCGTGATTTTAATGTTCATTTAGTACAAATTTTAGTTATCTAGCATGATAATTATTAATAAGAAGTGAGAAATGGACACTTTAAAAACTTGATTTAGGCTGGGTTCCACCATAAAACAAACATCAAAAATTTGTCAAACTCCATAAAAATACACCACGTCGTGTCACGATTAAAGTTTGATGGTGCAACTCAGCCTTACTCTTGTGGGGGTTTTTGCGGGTGTTTTTTTTATATCCAACGGGGAATCTCTTGGCCTGTATCTCACCTGATGGTAAGAATGATCAGGCCGAAGGTGGAAGCGAGCTTCACCCGCAATCCCCAACCACAGAGGAACTGGCTATCTTACCTGGCTGCAAATCTTGGCTACACAGAAGCAGTGAGAACGAAAGGTGAGGTGTCTTATCGATTTAAAATGATAATAACTAAGTTTCTGATTATGATGGTGGATGTTGTAAACGTAAAAATTGTCTTTATGAAAAAACATAGGCTTTATGAAAAATACCAAAATCTGTGACTTACTTATGTCACTTATTCGTAAGCTAGGTTTATCGAATTCAAATGTAAGAAACTAACTATGAATTTGCAAGCTATAAGGAGTAAGTGCTCAATAAATATGTAGGTTTATAGGTAGGTAGGTATTGAATAGACTTAAAGTAGAGGCGTGAGTGAGCAATTTACAATTATTTATAGGTATAATATGCAAAAATGTTCTGGCTAAATATTTACCACATCCCGCATCCACTCAAAGAGCGCTTGAACACGTTACATTTTAATTAAAACTCATAGTAAAACAACTCGTTAAAAATGAAACTCACGAATGTTCCATGAGTAGGCAATTTATTTAGCTGTGTAATTTCTCATTAAATTTAATGAGACCAGTTTA